TCTCTCTCTCTCTCTCTCTCTCTCTCTCTCTCTCTCTCTCTCTCTCTCTCTCTCTTTGTGCACGAAGGCGCTTCTGACAGCCAAGAATGTGGCGCGGCGAAGAAAGTGGGAAAATAAGAAAGCCACTCACCAAGGCCTCGCTGCACTACCGTGGTCACCGAGACAAAAAGAAAGGGGTTGTATTTGTCCATGTTCTAGCGGAAGATTCATTCTCATTTTGCACATGTGCTGAGGAGTGGAGCAAGGGCCCAAGTAGTGGAAAGGAACGAAACTCAACCCAGTACATGGAAAGGTACGTCGCTACTTCACTTTTGCCTTTTTGCCAAGGCTCTGAGGCCCCGAGCCGTGGTCCAGAACTGAGCCTACTCGGCCTGGACCCGACCCCCTTGTGCAGGTAAAGTTGGTCTCGTTCACTCGAACATAACACATATGCGTTGTAAACGAATACAATGTATGGTATGCGTTGTATTCGTTTACAACGCATATGTGTTATTTTTGGGGGAAGAAGGTAGGTAGGCCCCCTAGGTAGGCCTTGGAGCCCGTTTTGGGGCCAGACCCGGTATAGGCCCTGTAGGCGACAGGTCGTTTTAGGCCCTTTTTCAAATTCCGCCTTTTCGAATTTGGACGCCAACTTTAGGCGCCAGACTGTTTTGGGCGCCAGGCCCTGGCGCTGTTCGGCATTGGTGAAGGAACCCTCCCAGCCAAACCAGCACTATATATAGCTGCTCTGCCTAGGAGGATGGGCATTCAGTCTTCAGGCATTCAGCCGCTGCACTCTCCAGAGATGCTGCAGTGGTTGTAGGTGACGATAGGAGTAGTCTTCCAGCGCCGGGCGCTGCTAGGATTGTAGGATAGCGCTGAGAGGGAGGAGAGTGGCGGAGGCCAGGAGACTTACCTGGGAGCTTACCTGTGATGCCATCACTCCAGCTTCGTCTTCAGGGTACCTGCAGCAAGGCGCCACCTTTCACAGGTTAGTACCTGGCGCCGAGAGAGAGAGAGAGAGAGAGAGAGAGAGAGAGAGAGAGAGAGAGAGAGAGAGAGAGAGAGAGAGAGAGAACTCTTCTTCTTCTTCTTCTTCTTCCTCCAGTCCACCATCTCTCCCTTTCCCTCTAGCTACCTGACTTCTCAGTATCGACAGACTACGAGAGAGAAAGAGAGAGAGAGAGAGAGAGAGATTTGTGATTTTGGGATTCGACGACCTTTGGATTGAGACCCAACATTGGGACAGACACTGGATGGGGGACTATTCGGGATCTTTATCGAAGACATGGTGTTGACAACATCCTCATCCTCCCCTCCTCTTTGTCTGATCCCCCTCCTCCTCATTTGTGTATGATCTGAGCCTGGCGCGTTCTTCCTGTGTGTAGCGGAGGCCCCTTCACACCTTGCGATGATGATGATGTATGTTTGGTCTGCAATGCGACAAGGATTGGTCTGATCATTGGTATTTCAGTCTTCCACTGTGCTATCCTGTACTATGTGAGAGAGGTCGGTTCTTGTTTCTGGTCTGCGCCATATCGGTGTGTGACAGTTACAGAGTAACGTGAGCCTCTCCAGGCTCTTTCCCGAAGTTGCAGCCTCGGCGGGCAGTTGAGCCCAGGGCCCCGTACAGTTAAGGCCCTGGGTGTGTTCTTTCAGAAGCCGGCACATCATACAACAGCCATGGACCAATGAGATTGCAGCATTGTCGGCACATAGTGGCCGTGAGCCAATGACATCACAGCGAACATGTGGAGGCCCGCAGACGTGCCCAACTCTAAAGGGCTCAGGCCCGTAACTGCAACTGGGCCTGGGCGCAGGCATTGAGGCCTGAGTGGAAGCTACTGGATGCTCGCCCAGTCAGGCCCAGAGGGAGCAGAGGCTGAGCTCACTTTCCATACAGGAAAGTTAGCATCGCTGGGGAGGTCATTCTGGCCTAGGCAGGCAATGCGGCCGCGCTGCTGCGTTGCAACTTCGTGATCTGTATGAAGCTGCCGGCTGGGTTGCGCGGACGGGCGCTGGGGTGTGAGGTGCACTGCTGGGCAGTGGGCGCACGGCAGCCATAGCCGGGCTGCTGGGCACAGGTCTGGATGGCGATGGTGGTCTTTGGGTGTTGAGAATGCACACTGTGGGAAGTCAGGGGTGATGAGGGGAGAGACGAGATACATACCTGGTGCATGAGGGAGGTCAGCTATGGCATTGACGTCATGTACCTTGGTCTTCAAAGTCGAAGTGAGCCTGTTGCGTGAACGCTGGTGTAGTAGGATAGGCGAGTAGTGTAGGCTGGACGCTGAGCACCAGACAGAGTAGGAGCGGCATTGGATACGGTGTTCGTGTGGCCTGAGGGCTTGGACAGTGGCTCCTGAGTTCATTGTATTGCTCTTATCTGGATGGAATCTCGGTGCATTTGCGCTCTCTGCTTGTACATGACTACTTGGACATCTGTGTGATTTCACAACTTGGTTTTCTGTATATTGCTCTTGCTCATATTCCTTGCACAGAGCCACAAAACTTAGTGATGGATTTGGGGCAGGGTGCCAAAACGTCGTTGGTGTGTGCAGTGGTGATGGATGGAGAGGAGCAAGTCTGGTGGCTTTCTAAGATCAAATTCAGGGCACTACATCCCTTGCTTAGATGGTGGAGCATGGGTGAATTATTTATTACGCATTTGCATTGTCTGCGCTGTACAGTTTGATCGTGTCTCAATGTGCGGTTCTTTGTGATTTGGTGTCCCATAACTCAATTGAGAGGGGTGATGAGCTTTCTGTTGCTAATATGTAATTTGTAAATCCTGTGTTTCCTGCTGTGCCAGGAGTTGACGCAGCTGAGGGAGCAGGATGCCGATGAACTGAGGAAGCTGAGGAATCTTAACCTTCGATTGGAGGATGATTTGAACAAGCTAAGGGCAGACTTGGTGACTTCAAACAAGCAGGTAACTGAGGCGTGCACTGTATGCAGCTTTTCACATTCGTATGGTGGATAGGAAGAGGATGTGGAAAAAGCTCCAAGAAGCTTCAAGCTGGTGGTGATGTGTATGTTCAGGCCTGGCTCCGCTGATCTGTGCAACATGTGTACCTTATTCTAAGTAACTTGGTCTTCCTTCGATTCGGATGTGTCCTTGGCTTCCCTGCACTATTAAAATCGCTAACGTGACGAATCTGAAATCCGGGCCGTCGTCGGTCCTACCGGCCCACGGTCCAGATCGACCGAACCATGTAGCAAATCTGCCATCTGGGCTGTCGGGTTCTACCAAACCGACGGCCTGGATAGATGCGGTCTTAAGATGTTAGGACCGCGCCGAGATCCAGGCTGTCGGTACGGACCGACGGCTCAGATAGACGCGCCGCGGAGTGCCGTGGAGTACTCCCGGAGTCAAGTGTCGTGGGCTCAGATAGACGCGCCGCTGTTGCAACCGCATCGCGGCGTGTTGTTTGCCATAGTGTGTGCTGGGTATTGCCTCGCGCTGTGTTGTGTATGCCTTGCTTGCTGTTGTCGACCCTGCTGCGCGGCTCCCAAGTCTCTCTCTCGCTCTCTGCTTCTCTCTTTCACGCTGGGCAGATGCGTGGCGCCCAATTCTCTCTCTCGCTCTCTGCTTCTCTCTTTCACTCTGGGCAGACTGTCGGGGTTCAACCTCCTGATGAGTCGGTGGAAGTCCGACGAAACAGTCTGGCACAATCATGCTATTTATTGAGTGTATAGCTCGGTGGCTTGGTGACTCCTTATCCATCAGTCAAATGCATCCTGGGCAGACTGTCGGGGATGAAACCTCCACACACACTATCCCTGTCTCCCTCTCACCTAAGGTTGGCCAGCTGCTGTGGTGCGACGTGAGCTGCGGTGTGCGGTGGAGGAGTTGTCATCGACTGAATGCTGCTGCAAGATGGAACCCTCAGGTCATTGGCATGGCTCCCTCCCCACACCACTTCCCCCCCCCTTCCCTGTCTTCGTTCGCCCTCCGCTTCTCCTACGCCACCTGACTCCTCCAACCACCCTCCTCCCCCACCCCCCACCCCCCACCCCACCACCAAAACCGTTCACCCTCCGCTCCTCCGCAACTGTGGCATACTCCGTACCAGACGGGCCCAGCAGAGCCCGACCTGGTAGACTAAGGGTCCGTAGGAGTAGAGCCTGTGTCATGTCAGACTGACAGCCTGAAAACGAGGGCCTACAGGCCCTGGGTCGGTTCACCCTGACAGCCTGAAAACAAGGGCCTATAGGCCCTCAGTCTTTAGCGAGAAGCTACCTGGAAACTACCCGCAGCTTCCTCGGGGGCTAGCACGTTTGGGCATTGGCAAGAGCAGCCTCCTGGACGGGCCAGCACTATATAAGACTGGCCCGCCCTACAGGCAGGTAGGTAGTTCATAGGGACTGGACAGGCACTTCACGTGCAGTTCAGGAGGCAGGAGGTAGTCTTCAGGACTCGGCAGCGGCACTCTGGAGGAGGGGTAGCGATAGCAGTAGTCTTCAGAGCTGGGCGCTAGTAGAGAGAGAGAGAGAGATGGTTGGCGGAGGCCAGGGAGACTCACCTGCGGCGCCATAGCTCCAGCTTCGTCTTTGATGTACCTGCAGCAAGGCGCCACCTGTAGTATCGGACACACACAGAGAGAGAGAGAGAGAGAGAGAGAGAGAGAGAGAGAGAGAGAGAGAGAGAGAGAGAGAGAGAGAGAGAGAGAGAGA